CTGGAGTGCTCAGCTAATGGTCATCCGTCAGGGGATGGACCAATGTTATCGGGAGGAGTGTGTAAGGTCGGCTAGACAATCTAACCGTTTTTTATTTTACAATGATTTACAGTACTCCCCAAATTTATGAAACTTAAACGCCCATAGTACTGAACTTTCAGCCACTGAGTTTGATGTTTTTCAAGTTAATATGCGAGTTGATCTTTCTTAACTACATTCATTGGCGAGAACGTGAGGAGCAAATCTGTGCTTTGAGTAACCTCGATGAGATTTAGATTTAGATTAGACTCAATTTAGATTTCACTATTCGGGACACAGGAAGCTCAGCAGAACCCAGCTATTTGAATTTCTGAATGGAAAGAATTGCTTAGCACTCATCAGATACGCGCGGCAAGCTTGTCTTATCGTTTTGAACTAATTAAGGAATTCAATTATGATTAATATTTTTGTCTGTTTTTAATTTTTTTCCTCGTGTATTCTTAAAAATTTTCTATCTTTTAGTTTTCAATTACATATATCATTCTTATATTTTTCTTGGTGTAGTGATGTAGCAGCATCAACTTCCGGCAGGCGGTATTTACCATCCTGTATAACATAATTAATTAAGGTTTTTAGTTGAGATAAAAAAGTCAATGTTACGAGCGGGATTCGAACCCACGACGGCTTGATACGCCGCTGCTCTACCACTTGAGCTATCGTTACCTTGATCCACTCGGACACTAACTTCCCATCTCAACCGTTCCTTTTGAATTTTTCCTCCTTTTTGCCATTTTCCTTTTTGCGTATCAAGCCGAAGATCGTGGGTTCGGATCCCGCTCGTGTCATTGACTTTTTTATCTCAACTAAAAACCTTAATTAATTATAATATATTAATTGGTCAAGCGGACCACGAAATTAGTGAATTTAATGATTTGAAATGAAGTATACTTCACTAAAGCTCTCCGTGGCCATTTCATTTGTTGTCGAGAATCCAATCCGATTACACGACATTTGAAAAATGGCAAAAAGGAGGGAAAACTCAAAAGGTGCGGTTGAGATGGGAAGTTAGTGTCCGAGTGGATCGAGGTCACGATAGCTCAAGTGGGAGAGCAGCGGCGTATCAAGCCGAAGATCGTGGGTTCGAATCCCGCTCGTGCCATTGACTTTTTTATCTCAACAAAAAACCTTAATTAATTATAATATATTCATTGGTCAAGCGGACCACGAAATTAGTGAATTTAAGAAATGCTGTATAACGTTAATTTACTTTGTTTCGTATACATTTCTTTTTGAACTTTTCTAGTTTGATTAATTAAAAATAACAACAAACTAGGACTAGGTGCGTTGATAGGCAAATTTTTGAAATAGGCCACTTCCCCTGCTTAATGAATGTATGTAAGATAATGTATAAGTATATTTTTTTAATAAATGTTTATTCATTCATTCAGATAAATATTATCATTATTTCGATTAATTAAACTTTGGTACCAAGGTATTGGTTGAAACGATAAATTTAGTGTCACGAGCGGGATTCGAACCCACGACTTTTGGCTAAATACGCCGCTGCTCTACCACTTGAGCTATCATGACTTCGACCCACTCCAACGCCAACTTCCCACCTCGACCTACCTTTCGAATTTTCTCCCCTTTTCGCGATTTTTCCAATGTCGTGTAATCAGGATCTCGGCGACAAATGATATGGCCACGGAGAGCGTTAGTGAAGCTTCATATTTAGCCGAAGGTCGTGGGTTCGAATCCCGCTCGTGACACTAGCTTTTTCATTTCAACCAATACCTTACATGTAGATTAATTAATTGAAAGAAGTTATTTGGTCAATCGTACCACGAAATATAATGGATTATTATTGTTATTGTTATATATTATTACTTTTATACCAAGTCAATTTTATACCCCGCGTCGTGAGTCCCATTTCCATCCTACAATATATGACCCCATAACTAGGAGGTTGATTAAAAAAATTAAAAGCACGTTGCTCCAGTTAGACATGATAAATACGATGATATATGTGTATATATCTTGTGACTGGCATCTGAGGAAACACACCAGTAAATGGAACGATGATCCTATTTGTAAGGTTAAACAGTGAAGAGGAGAAAATAGAAATTAGTGGTAACCCGCAGCTCACCTTTTTCCATATAGGTTGAAGAAATGCTTTGCATAGTGTTTTTCATGACATATCAGATTTCGGGCTTACAAGTTTTTGTTGTTTTCCAAGTCGTATCTTAAGTCCTTGGGATACCACGTCAGGGGGACGGTCGAGGAGAGCTTGAGCTATAGGGGTTGAAAGATTGGAATAAAACTTAGTAGGTATGACGTGATAAGGAACTTATTGTATTCTTCGGAGGACTTTCGACTGACTGCTTGGATTTGTTGAATATTAGATGACTTTAAGGCACTCCATACCTCGCTCCGTATGTACAAACTGGTCGAAGTATTGTATTAACGTTGGGATTTTTTACGGTCGAAACTGATTCCTAGAAATGTAGAAAGTTGTTACCTTCAATGTGACGATTCCACGCCTGCCTCCTTTCTAGGTACAGTCGTTTCTGACGAATGTACTAATTACAAATTGTTCATTATCTATATGTACATCACAACGCTAACACTACTGCACTCGGAGGACCGTATTACAAGATGCCTGGAACTAAATTCGTAGAAGGTCGATGAGGAGAGATTCTTGGGATGGGAAGGAGTGTAGAGGGCTTGAGGAGTGAACCTCGTGTGAACGGTCGTTCTTCAGAAGCGGATGATAGTGGGGTTTGAGACGTAGAAAAAAGCTTGGAAAATTCTTCTCAAGTATGGATTTGTTGGATATCAGATGGCTTGGTGATAACGAACAGCTCACCTTCTTGACAATCATGTCTGATTTCGGTCCTAAATGTGTTCGTTTTTGCCCAGGTTGTTACATTTTGGGGAAACCACTTCAAGAAGATGGTCGCTCGTAGAGAGCTTGAGCTGTAGGGTTTGGATGGGTTAAAAGATTGGAGTGAAACTTACTTAACTTATGACGTAGTAAGGAACTTAAGAGTATTCTTCAGAGGTCTTTTTTATTGATGACGTTATGTAACTCCTCATCTCGCTCCTATGCCCAACTGGTCGAAGTCTGGTATAAACTTTGGGTATTTACGTTCGAAACTGAAGAGGTTTAGAAAGTTGTTGTCTACGATTCCATGTCAGCCTCCTGTCTAGGTATAGTCGTAAGTAACTGACGTGGCTGGTCCTCGGTATGAACGGGATGTGTAAGAACATGAACAACTGCGATATCATCCAGTCTATGATGATGGTGTCGAGATGGAAATTCAGTTATGGCAAACAGGATGGGTGCGAGAATGGTCCCTTGAGGGAATCTGGCATAATATGTGACCTATTTGCCCACCTCATTCCGATGCAGCTGTCAGATTAGGATTCAAAGTTAAGGTAGTAGTGGGTAGAAAGCGTTTGAACACCTACCCTATCAAAGCTGCACATCCAGGAACGTAATTTATATTTCTGAGTAGTAAGACCTTATCACCAACACATATATTTTCAATTCGTATAGATTGTTAAGTATAATTAAACATACATTGTGAATTATCTCAGATATTGATTGTTTTCAACGCGCCGCATTATCACAAATAGAACAATATCGATATTTCGCCGTTTCTTGAAAATGTAGTTTTTCCTACAAACAGATTTCTCACTCCGTTTGTCCGAGTCGACCCCCAGCTTGGGAAAATGGGATGTAACAACAGGGAAATAAATAAGGGGCAGCCGTGTCCGGCTCTCGCCCCAAAAGAAACAGGCGCAAAACAAGGGGAAGAGGGCCTATGATTGATGGATGTTTGTCGCCTCGTAAAAGCTCATTTATACAGATTAAGCTCCTTACCCCTCAAATCCGATCATCTCGACTGACCGAAGGACGGGTAAATTCAATAAACGACCGCTTAATGCCTTTGACCAAATACGTCCCTTAATATAATTTTTTTCTTGAACATCTAAAACAACTTCACTGATCCACAGGAAACTTTACAGGGCTTTAGAATCGTACAAACCACATGGAATGGCATATATTATGCCTCCATAAATAAACCAGAACCGAAGATATAAAATAAAGCGTTCCAAGGCGTTTATCAGTTACAATGGCATAAATTCTAAACATAGTTGATATAGTCCAAAAATTTCGGTAAATATCGGAGGAGCATAAATTTTTCAGTACAACACTGGACATCGGAGGGTAGGAAAATTGCCCCCGGCTAATCATCCCGATTACGTCGGAGTAACAAATAGTTTAGTTCATCATTAAAGTTTAGTTCACTGCTCACTGACTACAGCGGGTATTTAAAAAAAAAGTTATGCATAACATGCGGCTATAATGTGTCGAATCTAGACATATCGATCTAGAAAGCAACGGTGAAAGACAACTGGGAAAATTATATTTTGATAATTGCTATAGGTTTTCTCTCATTTTTTCTTTAGACATTGACGTTGGGGTCACAAGTACTTAATATATTCAAACAGGGCACTCTCAACACGACAGACAAGAATGACACATCTACACGGAAAACAAACACTTTGAGCCCTGAAGATGATCTCAATAAAGCTCGAAACGATGCACGACAAAGAAAATGTTTTTCTAAAACCTACCTCACACAGGCCGCATCTCACGATCTCTGAATAACCCTAGTCATTAAATTGTAATTATTGGTCATTCCCGGGTTTTGATGTTACTCAAACGCGTTTGCGCCATCTTCAGAGGAACAGGGGCACAGACCCAGAGCCGGTGGACTCACTGAAGAACACCCATCTTTTATATTTAAAAAAAAAATATTTTATTTAACTCTTGTGTACATACTTATCCGTTTTGCATGCCGTCTAGATCCCACGCTATATTTTACCTGGCACAGATATAGCGATAATATATTTGGAATCTATTTGTCTTATTGGATCAGATATTTCAAAAATATGTTTCATCGTCTGAAATATTTCAAATTGAAAACATGCTGAAAATTTGGAAAACCTGCCTTTGTGCATTTGGCTCTCGTGCTTCCTACACTTGGCTCTTCTGTTCTGGAACCAAACCTGAAAAAACAAATAAACTCTTTAAAAAATTTAATTTAATCCGATTTCAATTAACAGTTTAATCAAATCAAATTAAAGTTCTTCCTGAAATAGTCTTACACTCGTCAGTTTTCATCTGAACCTACGTTGCCGAAGTTTACCCCAATGTTCATTCAGACGGAAATCCAAACATGCAGAACACTAAAAAAAAAAATAATAAAATAATGATATAATAAAAAAAAAGTATTGGCACCCATACGCGGAACAAAACATTGCAAGTATTTAAAAGTAGAAAATCCTAGAAGTGCACCAACTATCTTCCAAAACAACATTTTACTCTTGTGCATCCTACGACAAAGTCAGATCATGAACGTCTGAAATAAATTGAAGAAATGGACAATATAGTGGACATATTAAAGTAAAAAAACTCAAGGAAGACATGGATAAGTAAGCAACAGATCATGGATGAAACGTCTCCATAGCCGTTAAAAGTGTCACTTGAAAACTCACGCACATACTTTTGAACAAAATCTTTCGTTTGTGCGGATACTTTCGGCATTTCAGGAGTAGTCCGTAAAACAACATACAAATAACGTTTCACGGTGGAAAACGCATGAGAGACTGGGCAAAACTGAGAAGTATGACGGCAGGGAAAGAATAGAACTGAGGTCGTAACATTTCCACGAATCCAATTAAACTAATCCAAGAGAACAATTACAGTGGTACATACACTATTCCTTTCTCCATTTATTACAAACAGAAGCAAAGGCGACCGAAAGTTTGCGGAAAGAGGTGGAGAAGCAACTGGGCAAACACAACCACGTCCATTATGCGGAAACGGAAGAATGGGACCCCGTAGAAAACAGTAAAATTTGACGTGCCGAGTACCGATATGCCAGATGTGTAAAAAAAATATGAAATTATAACCCACTTATGCAAAAATATGCATTTATAGCAATATATGCACAAATATGCAAAATAAATATAGCTTAAATTGATTCCAAATGCTTCAAAACAAACGGAGTTTGTTAAAACTGGATGTTTTAGATAACCAGGAAAATTAGGCAAATGCATACATTTCACAGCCCTACTCATCACTATCACCTCTAGCTATCAATCTCTTGGAAGCCTCTTAAAAATTAATCTTAGATTTTAATTAATTAAAGTTTTTAGTTGATGTTGAACCGGCACACGGGCACTACTGGGTCTGTCTTCACTCGCGGGTTTTTTGTTTGAGTTATTCAAACGCGTTTCGGCATTACGCTTCATCTTCAGTGAAAAACTGTCTGTCATTTAGTCTGAGTGGGGTTTATATATTGTTGCGTCCGTCGCTTGTCGCTGGGGGCGTTGCGTTAGGGGGCGTGGTCTCCGTGCTCGTTGGTCTTATTTTAGTTTAGTGTTAGTTTATTTATCGGAATGTATGTAATTGTTTAGCGTGAAAGGAAGGGGTTGCTTATAACCCCGCCCCGAGGAATATCGTGTACTCTGGGGGAGTGAAAGTGACCAGACCTCTATGTTTCTATTGAGTGTTGTGTTTTGTGTTTATTTATCGGAATGTATGTAATTGTTTAGCGTGAAAGGAAGGGGTTGCTTATAACCCCGCCCCGAGGAATATCGTGTACTCTGGGGGAGTGAAAGTGACCAGACCTCTATGTTTCTATTGAGTGTTGTGTTTTGTGTTAATTTATCGGAACGAATGTAATTGATTAGCGCAAAAGGAAGGGGTTGCTTATAACCCCGCCCCGAGGAATATCGAGTACTCTGGGGGAATGAATGTGACCGGACATCTATGTTTGTGGTGATGTATATATATGTATTGTATGTCTTGTTTTTATTCTGTATTTGCGAACCTGAGGTACAAACGAGAAACTAGCATTCTAGAATATCATCGTAGTACATATCTGAAATGAGAGAGTCAGTAACCAGATCGAGACGATCAAATGGCTGCAGTTTGAGACCAAATATGAGCGAAAGAAAAGAAAAAGGTGGAAAACACGTAGTGGGCCCGCGAAGACCTCAGCTGTTTGTCGGCCCATAAACTTCTCACTTATATATATTAGGAACTGGCTGGGTCTAGTGAGCAAGCAAGTTAATCTCGATGTATTCTTTTCTGTCATTTAAATAAGGTTTTTTTCTGGTTATATTATCTTCTATATCAGATGCTTGATTACAAGCAGTATCGGTAAATAGAAAAATTCCGTTTTGTAAGTCACAAATTGTTTTTTTTTTACCTTCTTAATTGCTTTATCTCCTGGCACTATTTTTCTGTTGCCCTTTTGCTAAGTTATTCGATGATGATAATTTCTAATAAAATTATAAAGCTTTTAAATATAATTATGTTCTATTAAGTCCAGTTTAAAAAAAGGTCGTCGGAAGTGACCCCACTAGGTGAATGTTTCATTAAAAATGCTCCCAAAGGGAAATAAACACGGTGGAAGGAGAAGAATAAAGTGTTATCCGATTACATTGATTGCTAATATTTAAGTGGACACGTCCGGATCCTCGGGAGTTTAATTGGATTGATAGGGCGACTGGGCCTAAGTAGTTGATAGATTGGATCATCCCTGAGGGAGGAATCGGAGGATCCTTTCAAGTAATTGCATGCCACCTGTTAGCCCCTTGGCTTTGTCTACTCACGACGGTAATTTCCGAACGGTTTATACGAGAACAATTCTGTACAAGCGGCTGTTTCAATTTGTCCGTATATTTTTAAATGGAATATTTTTCGTCTAAGGAATCCATGAAATAAAAAATGAATCACCAGGTTTAATGTTAAATAGACCCCCCCCCCAGTTTTAATTTCAAATTAACCATTGCTTGAATTAAACGAAAAACTTGAGAGATAGTATGAAATGTAAGCCTGTATGTTAGCGATTTTGTTTATTTGGATTTGGATTTTTACAGGCCCAAATCCGCGCATGAACGCACATACCAACATGGCACCGAGTTGAGCCTATTTGGCTCTTGTAATCCCTCAACAATTCCAGCTTTTACTATTTACAGTAAATTGCCGGCAGATTCGAGAATCACTCACCTTGGTTGCTGGCATTCCGGGGGCAGTCCTCAGTCTTATCAGTCCAGCCACCGAGGTTTGGGCACTGGGAGGGGGGATGCTGTCAACAGCTAGGTCAATTCAGCACCTGCAGTTCCAAACCCATTCGTACTCACGTTCATTGTTAAATACATTCACTCCTATATTTACATGCCGTTCATTCAATTAGGGTACACACATATTACAACTAGCTTAATTGAGGGTCGATGGGGTACTCGATATTCCATCATCAACCTTCTCCTATCACACATTCACGCTAATAAATACATTCACTTTCAACCCAACCTGTACATATATTATATAACTAACCTAATTGAGGGTCGATGGGGTAAAAATTTCAATTTTTTTTTTGCACAGGGGATCTAAAAACGCGCAAATTGAGAGAAAACTCTACACATCATTTTGCGTCCGAACGAAGTCCTAATGTTTTTTAAAGGTAAAAACCTAGGTAAAAAAAGTTAATTTGAAGTTAAAAAGAGTTCATTTTAAGGTAAAAAGGGTTATTTGAAGTAGAAAAAGGTTAATTTGAAGTTAAAAAGGGTTAATTTTAAGTCCTTTTTTAAAAAGGGACATTGTAAGTTAAAGAGAGTTAATTTTAAGGTAAAAAGGGTTAATTTGAAGTATAAAAAGGTTAATTTGAAATCAAAAAGGGTTAATTTTAGGATAAAAAGTGTTAATTTTAAGTCCTTTTTTAAAAGGGACATTTTAAGTTAAAAAGAGTTAATTTTAAGGTAAAAAGGGTTAATTTTAAGTAAAAAAAGGTTAATTTGAAGTTAAAAAGAGTTAACTTTAAGGTAAAAAGGGTTAATTTAAAAAGAGTTAATTTTAAGGTAAAAAGGGTTAATGTAAAAAGAGTTATTTTTAACGTAAAAAGGGTTAATTTAAAAATAGTTAATTTTAAGGTAAAAAGGGTTAATTTAAAAAGAGTTAATTTTAAGGTAAAAAGGGTTAATTTAAAAATAGTTAATTTTAAGGTAAAAAGGGTTAATTTAAAAAGAGTTAATTTTAAGGTAAAAAGGGTTAATTTAAAAATAGTTAATTTTAAGGTAAAAAGGGTTAATTTAAAGAGTTAATTTTAAGGTAAAAAGGGTTAATTTAAAAAGAGTTAATTTTAAGGTAAAAAGGGTTAATTTGAAGAGTTAATTTTAAGGTAAAAAGTGTTAATTTAAAGAGTTAATTTTAAGGTAAAAAGGGTTAATTTGAAGTAGAAAAAGGTTAATTTGAAGTTAAAAAGGGTTAATTTTAGGGTAGAAAGTGTTAATTTTAAGTCCTTTTTTAAAAAGGGACATTTTAAGTTACCAAGAGTTAATTTTATGGTAAAAAGGGTTAATTTAAAACGAGCTATTTTTAAGGTAAAAAGGGTTAATTTGAAGTAGAAAAAGGTTAATTTGAAGTTCAAAAGGGTTATTTTTTGGGTAAAAAGTGTTAATTTGAAGTCCTTTTTAAAAAGGGACATTTTAATTTAAAAATAGTTAATTTTAAGGTAAAAAGGGTTAATTTGAACTAAAAAAAAGGTTAATTTGAAGTTAAAAAGGGTTAATTTTAGGATAAAAAGTGTCAATTTGAAATCCTTTTTTAAAAAGGGACATTTTAAGTAAAAAAAGGGTTAATTTTAATTAAAAAAAAAGGTTAATTTGAAGTTAAAAAGAGTTAATTTTAAGGTAAAAAGGGTTAATTTAAAAAGAGTTAATTTTAAGGTAAAATGGGTTAATTTAAAAAGGGTTAATTTGAAGTAGAAAAAGGTTAATTTGAAGTTAAAAAGGGTTATTTTTAGGGTAAAAAGTGTTAATTTTAAGTCCTTTTTAAAAAGGGACATTTTAAGTTACAAAGAGTTAATTTTAAGGTAAATAGGGTTAATCTGAAGTAGAAAAAGGTTAATTTGAAGTTAAAAAGGGTTATTTTTAGAGTAAAAAGTGTTAATTTGAAGTCCTTTTTAAAAAGGGACATTTTAAGTTAATTTGAAATTAAAAAAGGTGGGTGTTTAGTGTCACGTCTAGTGTGACGTAAGTTAAAATCAGCTTTGCCAATCATGCACGAGTAAAAAAAAGAACTTGTCCTAGGGTCACTGTGCTAAAATCTTGTTCATTACAATGTTATACTGGAAAATGGACTCTACAGATTCTAGACATATTAAACGAACAGTTATGTTTATTTATTTATTTTGTTTTTTGTTCATCCCAAAGCTTTGTTAAGGTGGCCATTCACTATCGCTCCAAATGGAACCGCGCCAAGCCGTACTAATTAACCATTTGGGGTGCCTGAAATTTGAGGGGGCATTCACGACCGCTCCACAGCCAGTCCCTCCGAACGTCATCAAGTGAATTACCTTCTCAAAATGGATGACGATCTCTTGTGCTACGCTGATGTTTGTTTATATATTAAAAGCAAAAAACCGAAAAGGAAATGTTGTTAGGCTCCTGAACAGAATTCGTAATACCCACATCAATTTGATGAAACATCTTTCCCTTGAACCCGCTGATTGGAGGTACTATTTAAGGATGGATGAAACGTCTTATTTATTCATTATATTTAGTGATCTATTGACCAAATTACTTCTTTCAATTAATTAATCTTTTCTTGTAAGGTTTTGGTTGAAATGAAAAAGCTAGTGTCACGAGCGGGATTCGAACCCATGACCTTCGGCTAAATACGCCGCTGCTCTACCACTTGAGCTATCGTGACCTCGATCAACTCGGACACCAACTTCCCATCTCAACCGCACCTTTTGAATTTTCCCTCCTTTTTGCCAAAGTAGTCGAGGTCACGATAGCTCAAGTGGTAGAGCAGCGGCGTACGAAGGTCGTGGGTTTGAATCCCTCTCGTGCCATTGACTTTTTTATCTCAACTAAAAACCTTAAATTCTTAAAATTAACCCTTTTTTACTGATTATTTGGAGATCGTGAGACGCGGTCTGGTGTGACGTAGGTTTTAGAAAAACATTTTCTTTATCGTGTCAACGTTTCGGTCTTTATTGAGATCATCTTCAGGGCTTGGGATTTATAAACATAGTTTAAATTGTACAAATACATGTAGGTTGTGAAAAAATGAGTTTATACAATGATAGAAATTTTAGACTCAATCAAAGTATTTCTACTCACTCAAAGTGTTTGTTTTTCTCTGTAAATGTATCATTACTGTGTGTCGTGTTGAGAGTAGCAGTGAGATATTAATGTTTTTTGTTTGTTGGATTTTGAAGGGAGTGGGGAAGGAAGTAGGGAAAGAAATCCATTTTTCTACGAGGAGTCGTCTTCTTTGAGGTGACAATTGGAAAGAATGGGTAATGGTTTGGCTTATTTCTCCTTTCGTGGTTATATAGACGGATAATTAGGGAAAGGAAAGCCAAATTGTTGAAGAATTAGACTATGAAAAATGTTTGATGTGTGGAATGTAATGATTGTTTTATATGTTTTGTGAGATGTGATGATATATGTATGTTATTAATATTGAATTTGATCAATAATATTAGCGCAGCTGCGACTGAGTTTACATTGTTTACCCTGTTGATGTAAACCATTACTAAAAAGGTACGTTTATGTTTGTTTTGTTCTGTGTGTAATATTTTTAGATTGTTGAAGTCGAAATTGTGTTTGTGTTCAAAATGGTGGGTAGCGAGTGCTGTAGGATTTTGCTTGGGTTTTTCGCAATCATAGATATGTTGCTTTACTCTCTTATCAAGATATTGAGATGTAATTCTGACGTAAGTTGCCGGACAGTTGAACAAATTGAATTTGTAAATTACATCAGACTTGTTATTAGTGTGGGATCTTTAATTTTGGAAAAAAGTGTTTGAATTGTTTTATAATTTTTGAAATCTATTTTAATATCGGATGAGAGAAATGTGTTTAATTTATGTGATAGGCCGTGAATGAATGGCATGGAAATGTATGTTGGTTTGTTTATATTTGATAGATTTGATGTAATATTATTAGTAATAGTGGATGGTGTTAGTGTTGAGTTGTAGTTGTTGATTATTCTGTTGATTATGTGTTTAGGGTAGTGATTGTTCTGGAGGATATGTTTGTATGTCTTTATGTTCTTGGGGTGAAATGGTTCATGGCGTAGGATAATAATTCTGTCAAGTAGCCCTTTGGCCGTGTTTATTATTGTATGAAGAGGATGGTAAGATATGAAGTTGATGTAGCGATCTGTGTTTCTTGGTTTTTGATACCAATCTGTGATTAATTTGCCATCTGGTTGTCTTATTACGAGTGTATCTAAAACTGGTATTGTTTTGTTGTTTTCGATTTCATATGTAAATTTTAGGCGTGGGTGAAGCCGTTAAATGTATCTAATGTAGTTGGAATTTGAACTGTGGGAACTGCTGTCAATACATCATCTACGTATTTAGTGAGGAAGGGTAATCGGAAGTTGTGGTATAACTGTGTTTAATAGATGTGTCATAATTATGTCTGCAAGTATCGGGCCTAGGTTGCTACCCATGGCTATGCCAAATAATTACTTGTAAAAATAATTGTTATATGTAAAATATCCGTTAATACAACAGTTGTCGAACAATTGTTATGAACGTGTCAACGTGTACACATCTACGCAGAAAACAAACACTTTGAGAGTGTACAGATAGATTGAGTCTAAAATTTCTAGCATTGTATAAATTCATTTTTTTTTGCATCCTACATGTACTTGTATAATTTAAACAATGTTTATAGATTCCAGGCCGTTAAGATGATCTCAATAAAGATCGACGAACCGTTGGCACGATAAAGACAATGTTTTTCTAAAACAAACGTCACACCAGACCGCATCTCACGATCTCCAAATAATCAGTATAAAAGGGTTAATTTTAAGAATTTATGGTTTTTAGTTGAGATAAAAAAGTCAATGTCACAAGTGGGATTCGAACCCACGACCTCCGGCTAGATAGGCCGCTGCTCTACCACTTGAGCTATCGTGACTTCGATCCCCTCGGGCACCAACTTCCCATCTCAACCCCACCTTTTGAATTTATCTCAACTAAAAACCTTAATTAATTGGTCAAGCGGGCCACGAAAACTAGTGAAGTTAATTTTAAGGTAAAAAGGGTTAAATTTGAAATAAAAAAAGGTTAATTTGAAGTTTAAAAAAAGTTAAATTTGAAGTTAAAAAAAGTTTAATTTGAAGTTAAAAGAGGACACATCGTGATTATATATTGCAATGTTTCTATGCTACCCAGTGCACTTTGCGTCTTGCACCTGATTTATCTTTTTATTTTTCTTATCAAAAGTAATATTTGCACACACCGTGATTGGCTCTAAGCATCACAATTATCCTGCACATCGCTTTTTTAAGAGTGATCGTCGAAAATCAGGGTAAGGGTTAATTTGAGGTAAAAAAAGGTTAATTTGAAGTTACAAAAATAGTTAAATTTAAGGTAAAAAGGGTTAATTTAAAACTAAAAAAGGTTCATTTCAAGTTAAAAAGAGTTAATTTTAAGGTAAAATGGGTTAATTTGAAGTTAAAAAAGGTTAATTTGAAGTTACAAAAATAGTTAAATTTAAGGTAAAAAGGGTTAATTTAAAACTAAAAAAGGTTAATTTCAAGTTAAAAAGAGTTAATTTTAAGGTAAAATGGGTTCAGTGGAAGTTTAAAAAAGGTTAATTTGAAGTTAAAAAGAGTTAATTTTAAGGTAAAAAGGGTTAATTTGAAGTTTAAAAAAGGTTAATTTGAAGTCACAAAAAGAGTTAAATTTAAGGTAAAAAAAAGTTAATTTGAAATTAAAAAGAGTTAATTTTAAGGTAAAAAGGGTTAATTTAAAAAGAGTTAATTTTAAGGTAAAAAGGGTTAATTTGAAGTAGAAAAAGGTTAAGTTGAAGTCAAAAAGGGTTAATTTTAGGGTAAAAAGTGTTAATTTTAAGTCCTTTTTAAATAGGGACTTTTTCAGTTAAAAAGAGTTAATTTTAAGGTAAAAATGGTTAATTTGAAGTAAAAAAAGGTTAATTTGAAGTAAAAAGAGTTAATTTTAAGGGAAAAAGGGTTAATTTGAAGTAAAAAAAAGGTTAATTTGAAGTTAAAAAGAGTTAATTTTAAGGTAAAAAGGGTTAATTTGAAGTAAAAAAAGTTTAATTGTAATTAAAAAAGTAAATTTTAAGTAAAGAAGGTTAATGAAGTTAAAAAAGGGTTTATTTTAAGGTAAAAACGGTTAATTTGAAGTTAAAAAATGTTAATTTTAATTAAAAAAGTTAATTTTAAGTAAAGAAGGTTAATGAAGTTAAAAAAGGGTTTATTTTAAGGTCAAAAGGGTTAATTTGATTTTTTTAAATATTTAAATTGAATAATATATTCCAATGAGAGCAATAAATGAGGTTATTTATTTATATATTTTTATTATTTTTATTTTAATATTTGTTATTGGGGCGTCGGTGGCCGCTCGGTAAAGCGTTGACGAGGTCCTCATCACGTCCCGGTTCGAATTCAGGGCCGCTGGACATACTTACAAAAGTATTTTAAAGACCCGAGGAATGATTGACTTCCGCTATTAAATAAAAGATAATTAAACAATAAAAAATTAAATTAAATTTTAAAAAACTGAAAACCAGGATGGGTCGTAGACTCAGACGACAATGTTTAAGCATTTTTTCATTTAAATTACTTTGATATGAAATGGCTTTTACGTTTGAAAAAAGTTCTAATCAACAGTGCTGGCATTTTTTAATATCTATTCTTTTAATTGTCGCCTCAGACCATACTTTTTCTGTCGGACCACGAATGATCGTTGAGAAAAGGTTGAAAATTCTTCATAGGAGAGAGCAGATTAAAGTGACAACGGTTCTGATAGAAAGGATCTGCAAATTTCTTTCTAGTTAAAACGTTTCGTACAAACTTAAAAACTAAAGTAAATATATCATAAGACCAACATAAATTAAACCTTATAATATATGATATTACATAACATATGAAACGAGATAAAATGAAAAAAAAGAAATGAGATGAAAATGATTGAAAAAAAAATGACAATCATAATAAAATAAAGATGTAGAAAATGAAAATAAACAATACATAAATACGTGCACATAATAACAATGGACTAGATAAAATACATGCATTCTTATGAAATGATCAGATGGTGACGATGGCGTCAAAATTGCACGGTTACTTGACAACTATTGCCACCATCTCCCATTGTAAATGTGTACTATTGTAGTCTTCCAAAGCATTGAAGAGAGTCGATTAAATTCAAGAAGAAAAAAGCTGTTTTTACGTCGAGCCTTACAGGTGAGACTGTCTAGTTGCTAAGAAAGTGAAATGGGTAAATAAACTCAACGAAAAGAACGTAATAACCAGAGAGTTTCAGAACTTCTAAACAAAACCGAGCACTCCTGTCCCTTTTCCTCGGAATGGCTATCATCATAGGCTATATTTTATTTTTAATCTTTGATCGTTAGAACGATTAAAAATAAATATATTATAATAATTTTATCAGAAAAATACTCGGTATTGGACAAAAATAGTTTGCAATTTAAACACTTTTAAAAATGACTTTTAGGCAAACTCTGGATTATTTTCGTACGTTTATTACAATCAAGTAAGAGCAAGTATCTTATATATCAAGAATAGTAGTATATCAAAAGTAAGATCATTAGGAGAATCTTAAAGTCATTCATTGTCGAGAGGGAAAAAGACCCATCTCTGGATTTCACATCTAATTTTCAAAAAGTTTAAACTTTAGATGTACAAGTAGATAGTCGGGGTGTAACAGCCAATTAAGAGCTATTGTATCCCCCATTTTTGTGTAAGTCCCATTTCATCAAGGAACTTGATTAGTAGGTCCGGTTTCAGTCGTTGAATTTCTTCTTCAATTACACTGTACATCCCAAAACACTTCCTCCTCCGGGCAAGTGTAGCACCACAGTGGGCGCACACTAGGTCGGTGGGGCGGCGCGACGCGGGGCGGTGGGGAATTGTGAAGGTCCGCACACTATGTAGTATCTAGTTGGTCGGATTTTCCCCCTCCGTTTTAGTGTTAATTTTGCATTTCCAGGAGTCCCCACGTCACAATCGCTGGCTTCGTCTTTGCAAATATGGCATCCGAGGGCAGCTGAATATACCAGAACTCAACGATTTCCCACCGCCACGGCGCATACTAGGCCGGTAGCGCGTCGCGGCGCGGAGCCGGGTTCCAGAAGTCTGGCAACTTCCTCCGGCTCCGAGCCGCGCCGCGCGGTGTGCGGGGTTACATTCATTCCGCGCCACCGATCTAATGTGCGCCCAGCTTAATAGGTGTGTTGGTGTCTCCTCTACCTCTTTGCAGAATCTGCACGTCCCTTCTTGAATTTTACCAATTTTCTTTAAATGTCCATTTAGTTTGCAGTGTCCTGTTAAGAATCCTGTTAGGATTCGCATTTTTTTCCTGCTTCCTTTGATACATTCTGTCACTTCTTTCCTTCCGAAATTAGTTCGGAGGTTCTTGGCTTGTTTGTGTCAAATGAGTGAATTACATTGTTTCTTCATTTTCTTTTTATCCTTCTGTCTGAGTACTCATTGACAGTGTGGGTTCCTACGCCACAAAAGGGTTCTGGTCCTCTCAGCGGTATAGCAGCCCATTTTCTTCCAAGGGTGAAGTTTAAATTTTATTTTCACATGATTAGATTTAAGGCACTTTTTGGTACAAGTAAAATATAAATTCCAATAACCAAAATGAATTGCTCAAGGTAGTCTGAATACAAGACCCCAAAATCGCTGAGAATCAAGAGGATTATCCATATATTTTTAAGCAGTTGCCACCAAAGATTGGAAGCGAAGAGATTTCTGGCAGATTTTGTATCCTCATAGAAAAGACCAGAGTTCAGAATGTCATCTTAAGATTTGTGAAATTGTTGACAATTCATATTAGTTTTCCATTGTGTTTGAATTTCTTTAAGGAAGGCATAACTTTTTTCCTGAAACTAACTTTAGGCTTACTTCAGTTTTTGTGCATTTTCATAGTTCAACAATTGCAATGATTCGTGAGGACTTATGTTACCTTTAGAGCAACAGAAAATGGGCTTAACATCGACGCTGTTAAGTCCCAGGCTGAATTTGGATCAAGTTCTCTCCGTTTTATTTCTTTCTGTCCCAACGTAAAAACCGTGGCATTATCTGATATCATACCTTGTCCTGGGATTCCGTACCTATGAAATTCTATCAGTTCCGTCGTACATGCTACCTTCTACGCTTTGGTACGAATAGACTCCTTGTTGACTCCCTTTTTCTTCCCCAGTTTCCTTACGGCCGTGTAACGTGGTCTGTGTAACTTGGAGATAAACAAAAAAGTGGCTAATTAATCTTGATGACTATATTTTTACTGATAACTGACCTTCGAGAAATTAGATACATGTGTTTACAACTTTTCTGTAAGCGCCAAGAAAATCTTACTTAAACTGGCTTATAGGATGATTGATTGATATTGATTGATGTTGATTTTGTGTTTTGCTTGCTCAAGGTTTCATTTCAAAAAATGAATATCATAAGCTTTTCCGTGTTCTTTCCATTGCTGTAATAAATTTAAAAGTTGATGAAACCTGAAAAGTGATCTCGAAAACAATTGAGATTTAGACCTTGAATAGTAGAGACTTAGACATTAGGTCAATTTGACATGTAGAGTGTAACCTCCTGAACTGTTGACGTATGTTCTCGAGGCACCCTGTATAATCAAATTTATTATTATTATTATTATCATCATTATATTCCCTCTAACGACCCCTCTATACTCAGAAGGGGCACATCGTCTCATAAAATCTTTGCCGTCCGGTATGAAAATAACTATAACCCTGAACCGCTCAGGAATAAAATGTCAGGGATATGCAGATGACATAGTCCTGACAACCAGGGGAAAATTCGAGGAAACCCTCTGTGATATAATCCAAGAGGGACTGAAAATCACAGAAAAATGGTGTAAAAGTGCAGGCTTGGGGATCAACCCAAACAAAACAACTATAGTCACTTTTACACGGAAAAGAAATCTAGATCACATGAAAGTAATCAAACTAAACAACACTGTGATAGAAATCAAAAATGAAGTCAAATATCTGGGCATTATACTAGATAAAACACTAACGTTTAAGAAACATATCAGCTCTATCATCACAAAGGCGACACGAGCTTTGATGGTGTGCAGAAGAATGGCAGGAAGAAACTGGGGATGTAGGCCAGAAACCCTGTTATGGATGTACACCATGATAGTAAGACCTTTACTCACATACGGAGCTATAGCCTGGGCTGATAAAGCGGAACAAACAACCAAAAGGAAAGAACTCTCAAAAATACAGAGACTTGCATGCATCTGCGTAACGGGAGCAATGAGAACATGTCCTACAATTAGCATGGAAAAGATATTGGGACTAATCCCCCTACATCACATGATAGAAAGGACAGCACAGAAAACTATAATTAACATCATTAGAGAGAAACCTCCAACAGGAATAAAACTGAAATGGAGAGACAGAAACAAACTGTGGAAAAACCATCCTTCACTCATGGCTCCAAGAGACGACATGAACAGGAGGTTTGAATTTAACCATAAATTCCGAATACATCTGGGCACCAAAAAGGAATGGGAAAGAGAGGGAAATAACTCCCTCAAAAATGGCACCATCCTTTGGTACACAGATGGATCTAGAACACAGGAAGGTACGGGGGCAGGAGTGTTCGGACCCGGAACCAAATACTCAGAACCCATGGGAAAGCATACCAGTATCTTCCAAGCTGAAATTCATGCAATTGAAAGATGTATCCAATTCAATCTAAATAAAGGATACAAAAACAAGAATATAGCTATCATGTCAGATAGCCAAGCAGCCATCAAAGCACTAAGCTCAAATACCATTAGTTCAAGGATGGTGCTGAACTGCAAAACCAAATTAAATATATTAGGCTCGCAGAATAAAGTCAGCCTCTGCTGAGTCCCAGGACACATGGGAGTAGAAGGCAACGAGAAAGCGGACACCCTGGCAAGAAAAGGGGCTGCCACACCGCTAATAGGACCTGAACCCTTCTGTGGAATAGGAACACACACTATTAGCGAATACCTCAGACAGAAGGACAAAAAGAAAATGAGCGAACTTTGGAATTCACTTATTGGACATAGACAATCCAAGAATCTTCTAACCAAGAAAGAAATCACAGAATGTGTCAAAGGAAGCAGGAACAGACTGCGAATCCTAACAGGATTCCTGACAGGACACTGTAGATTAAATGGACATCTAAAGAAAATTGGAATAATCCAAGATGGTACATGCAGATTCTGCAAAGAAGCAGAAGAGACCCCAACACACTTACTAACAAACTGCGGAGCCACACTAGCCCGCAGGAGGAAGTGTTTTGGGATGTACAATGTGACCATAGAAGAACTACAACCACTGAAACCGGGCCTATTAATCAAGTTTCTTGATGAAATAGGACTCACCGATGTGCTTTAGGCAGAGCACAGGGGATATAATAGCTCTTAAAGGGCGCAGTATACCATACCCTGAATCATTATATCTATCTATCTATGAAAATAACTAATAAAAGAGGGGAGAAAATATCCCCTTGAAGGATCACTTAGGTGAGATCGAATATTACAGACTTGTTCCCCTTTTATTTTACGAAAGTGGCGTTCTTTCAGAGGTTTTATAACTTTGTTGAATAATTTATTATAAAACAAGATCTAACGCTTTCTCAACTTCCAAGTTAAAACTGTCTACAAGGCGAAACACTCGCTGAACTATTGGTGAGAGCCAAAGCCAAACTGATTTTATGGGAGAATTTTATACCAAAATTTTAGACTTGAGAACGTACTTGAACTCTGGCTTCGCTGAGTCCGAGCCTTTGGCTGAGTTCTTCTCTCATGAAGGCGTCAGGATAGTGCGTCTCGTCGAAGAGGCGTTCGAGCTCGTTGAGCTGCTCCAGGGTAAAATTCGTCCTGCTCCTCCTCTGTTTGTTGCTGCTCGCCTTGCTCGGGCAGGGAGAACTCTGGCCGGAGCCAATCCCTGCAAAACAAGAAGTAAACCAAAGGTCAGACTCTGTTGAGACGCATTTTTGGTTAAAAATGTGGCAGTTCCAAACCGGAAGATGTTTCCAGGGGCTGATGTCATTTGCATTTTAAATTGAAGGAGTTAAAGTTGATTATTGCCTACTTAAACTTGTAACCTAATAATATGTACAGTATTGTGTTTGCCGTTTGCCCTTATATTAATATTCTGTCGAGTAATCGCTCCCGATAAATAATATTACAGGATCTACTTGGTTTTAGTGCCTTTTAGTGCTTAGTGACGTGAACTCCCGGATCTTCGTTAATTGTGCCGCGCGCTGTCGTGAGTCACGATCCTGATTGGTTTTAGAAGCCAATGCTGGGGTCGAGTAGGGACTCGGGCAGTTGTGAGCCAAATCAGCAGCCAGGTGCTTTTAGAGTATATTGTTGCTGTGGCGTTTGATGACCTTACATTATTGAAGCGAGAACTCCTCGACTACTCTGGTATAATCTGGTTGAGGGTTTCGGTTCGAATTATTAAAAAGAATTTAGGTAACTAAACTGGAAATAACTTTAGTCTTTCTCTTCAACAGCGTGGAACTACCGACATATGTACAAGTTAAATAAATAGGACTCACTATACATAGAAATCAGACGTGGAATCTCCAAATAAGAACTCAAAAGTCTTGGAAAACTATGAATAGAAGTTGTGCCGAAATCAGACATGAAATCACAAACTAACACTACCATTCCTGTTAAAGGTCAAAAGAATTCTCAACTCTTTGCTGTATCTACAAGCCTTCGAACAGTTTGGGCAGTGGAGTGTCATAACATCATCTAATCGTCAACAAATCCAAGGAATACAGTCAAAAGTCATCCGAAGAATACAATAAGTTCCTTACAACGTAATACCTACTAAGTTTCACTCCAATTTTTCAACCAATCCAAACCCTATAGCTGAAGGGTTCACTACGACTACACCTAGACAGGAGGCTGACATGGAATCGTAGACAACTTTCTAGACCTCTTCAGTTTCGACCGTAAATCCCCAAAGTTTATACCAGACTTCGACCAATTTGGGCATACGGAGCGAGGTGTGGAGTTACATAACGTCATCAACAAAAAAGACCTCCGAAGAATACTCTCGGAATGAGGTGGGCAAATAGGTCACATATTATGCCAGATTCCCACAAGGGACCATTCTCGCACCCATCCTGTTTGACATAACTGAATTTCCATCTCGACACCATCATCATAGACTGGATGATATCGCAGTTGTTCATGTTCTTACACATCCCGTTCATACCGAGGACCAGCCACGTCAGTTACTTACGACTATACCTAGACAGGAGGCTGACATGGAATCGTAGACAACAACTTTCTAGACCTCTTCAGTTTCGAACGTAAATCCCCAAAGTTTATACCAGACTTAGACCAGTTTGGGCATAGGAGCGAGGTGAGGAGTTACATAACGTCATCAACAAAAAAGACCTCCGAAGAATACTCTTAAGTTCCTTACTACGTCATAAGTTAAGTAAGTTTCACTCCAATCTTTTAACCCATCCTAATTCTATAACTCAAGCTCTCTACGACCGACCATCTTCTTGACGTGGTACCCCCAAAATGTAACTACCTGGGCAAAAACGAAGACATTTAGGACCGAAATCAGACATGATTGTCAAAAATGAACAATGTCCAAAGGCATTGAACCTACATAGACAGAGGTGAGCCGTTCGTTACCACCAAGCTATCTGATATCCAACAAATTCATACTTGAGAAGAATTTTCCAAGCTTTTTTCTACGTCTCAAACCCCACTATCATCCGCTTCTGATGAACGACCGTTCACACCAGGTTCACTCCTCAAGCCCTCTACACTCCTTCCCATCCCAAGAATCTCTCCTCATCGACCTTCTACAATTTAGTTCCAGGTTTGGCAGGCATCTTGTAATACGGCCCTCCGAGTGCAGTAGTGTTAGCGTTGTGATGTACATATAGATAATGAACAATTTGTAATTAGTACATTCGTCAGAAACGACTGTACCTAGAAAGGAGGCAGGCGTGGAATCGTCACATTGAAGGTAACAACTTTCTACATTTCTAGGAATCAGTTTCGACCGTAAAAAATCCCAACGTTAATACAATACTTCGACCAGTTTGTACATACGGAGCGAGGTATGGAGTGCCTTAAAGTCATCTAATATTCAAAAAATCCAAGCAGTCCAGTCGAAAGTCCTCCGAAGAATACAATAAGTTCCTTATCACGTCATACCTACTAAGTTTTATTCCAATCTTTCAACCCCTATAGCTCAAGCTCTCCTCGACCGTCCCCCTGACGTGGTATCCCAAGGACTTAAGATACGACTTGGAAAACAACAAAAACTTGTAAGCCCGAAATCTGATATGTCATGAAAAACACTATGCAAAGCATTTCTTCAACCTATATGGAAAAAGGTGAGCTGCGGGTTACCACTAATTTCTATTTTCTCCTCTTCACTGTTTAACCTTACAAATAGGATCATCGTTCCATTTACTGGTGTGTTTCCTCAGATGCCAGTCACAAGATATATACATATATCACTCTGCATTTTATCATGTCTAACTGTAACAACGTGCTTTTAATTTTTTCATATCCAATTAATAAGGAGGACAAAATAATCGGAAGCGAACAAACTACAGGTTTATTACCCGGCAGGCCAGAAAAGACCACCCGTCCTAGAATCAATTTAAAATTTCATTTTCTCGTTTCTTGTAATTTCGAATCAGATCCTGGTAAAATATAAATTGACTGTGTCCAATTGGGAAAAGGTCCAGGGAAAGATCTCCTCCGCCGGAATACAATCGAGTTCGACCTTGCGAAGGGCGCCGGGAGGCGGAAATATTTCCTCAGTTTGTTCCAATGACAGGCAATAAATATAATCTCCACCTCTGCCCTGTTTTCCCTGTTATATCAATAGACAAACGTCCACTTTCATCCCCAAATAACCCGATGGTAAATTATGCAAACCCCATTTTTCCCTCGGACTCCCTTTGTAGAGTTTCTCGGATCGTTTCTCTTATTGGTATTGCCGTTCTACGCTTAGGAAATATTTCCTCACCCCTTCTTTTATCAAGACAATCATCCCTCCCTCTTAGAACTGAAACTGCGCCAATAAAGCAAGTTAGGCACGGAATAAATAATATGTTAACATTTAAAAGTGTGTAGTGGGGCTGATTTATTGCAATGCCCATCCTTACAAATGGACAAAATGTTTTGATCCTGGCTCTTGTTCAAATTTATTATCTCATGGAAAGTGAAAGCGAAAAAAATACGGCCAAACACCCACCTTTTGTATGTTATTTGCACAAACGTTAAGTAAAGTTAAAACTATCTACATCTATTTATAAGATTCAGTTGATGTTTATATTCTCCGATTAAATTGTAGTGACCCTCTCTGCCTTATTGTGTGCTGTTTTTCAGAGTTTCAAGGAAAGCCCATGGGTTTTTGGGGCGAGTACAATGTTGTTATTTCTAAGAAATTGCAGTGGTTTTGGAATGGAGCAGTGTTGTTGCAGCAGTATTTCCAGGAAATTACACGTGTTTAGGAATGGCGCAGTGTTGTTGTTGCAGTGTTTCTTGGAAATTACAGGGCTTTAGGACGGGTACAGAGTTGTTGCTGAAGGGTTTCTCGGAAATTACAGGGCTTTAGGACGGTATCAGTGTTGTTGTTGCAATATTTTTCGGAAATTACAGAGTTTTAGGACGGGATCAGTGTTGTTGCTGAAGGGTTTCTTGGAAATTACAGGGCTTTAGGGCGGGTACAGAGTTGTTGTTGCAGTGTTTCTTGGAAATTACAGGGAATGTTGTTGCTACAGGGTTTTTCAGAAATTGCAGGGGTTTAGGAATGGCGCAGTGTTGTTGCGGGAGGTTTCTCGGAAATTACAGAGCTTTAGGACGGGATCAGTGTTGTTGTTGCAGTGTTTCTTGGAAATTACAGAGCTTTAGGACGGGATCAGTGTCGTTGTTGCAGTGTTTCTTGGAAATTACAGGGCTTTAGGACGGGTACAGAGTTGTTGTTGCAGTGTTTCTTGGAAATTACAGGGAATGTTGTTGCTACAGGGTTTTTCAGAAATTGCAGGGGTTTAGGAATGGCGCAGTGTTGTTGCGGGAGGTTTCTCGGAAATTACAGAGCTTTAGGACGGGATCAGTGTTGTTGTTCCAGTGTTTCTTGGAAATTACAGAATTTTAGGACGGGTACAGTGCTGTTGCTGCAGTTTTTCAGAAATTACACGGACATTACATTCAATTGTCCGACGCCAATTTAAAATCTCCATGTTGGAATATTCAATCGTCAACTTTTCTTTTTTTATTAATTTCGTCAACACCAATTTATCGTGTTTATTTACATTCTACTTTACATTCTAAGCAGTTGTAGATGATGAAGAGTCAGTTAATAAAATCCGGAGGAGACTAACCCTGTAGATCCAAGCAGGAAGCCCGCGTAAAAATGCATTTTATTACAGTAATTAATGTAATAGAAAAGTTAGTGGAGTCAATGAGATTGTTTAAAGGGTCGCTCCGCTTCTCCGAAATTCACAAGACGACATTAAAAAAAAAAACGAGGACTTCATAAAAGTTGAGGGATGATAATTTTCACCCGGTAGAAAACATTAATTTGACTTCAATTTCAATTCAAGGGCGCAATTATATTTTGATTAAAGAAAGGGGTTGGTTTAACGGATGGAATTGCTGGGAGGGGGTGAAGAGGTGGAGTGGTCGGGAGTTGGAGGCGGATTCCACAAATTCGAATGGGGTGGGCGCGCGCGTTAGGGGTTGAAATGGGTGTTCCGCTCCAGGGGATGACCTCCGTTAAGCAATTGCTTTCCACCGGAGTTCCTTCTTTTCTTTAATCATGTCTTCCTACTTGATTTACCCTTCGTGTTTTCCTCTTAATCAGACTGATTTCGGAAAGATAAAACCCTCCCTCTCGTAGTTCTCTGGTTTTTGCACTCGATTAAAATCGACTGCGGCCCTGTTTCG